GCACGGAACCCCGATGTTGGGCTCGATCCCAGGACCCTGAGATCATGCCCTGAGCCAAAATCAAGAGTCAGATGCTCAACCAGCTGAGCCACCCAGGCGCCCCTCTGTGGGGCCCTTCTAACTTCCATTTCCATAGCTGCAAAAAGTAGATAATAATGCCTTTCTTGCTTTTCTCACAGGGCTTTTCTGAGGATCACCAGAGAGGCTGTGTGTGAACATGTTTGTTAGCTATAAAGGAGTAAGTGACTATCACTGTCAGTATAACCACTGCTATCGTTGGACTCTCAGATCCTACAAGCCAGCTTTGGAGGCTTCCAGATGTCCTCTGGGATTCCTAAGCCTCTGCCCTCTCCTTCCTCCACCACTCCTCCAGGTAGAACGTGTGGTTCAAAACCTTTTGAGAACCCTTGATCCACTGGGAAAATAACCAAGGAATGCATAAATTAGAATCACTTCAGGGATGCCTGGGTGGCTCAGCCAGTTCAGCGTCTGCTTTCGGCTCAGGTCATAATCCCAGGGTCCTGGGATCGAGCCCCACACTGGGCCCCCTGCTCGCGGGGAGCCTGCTTCTCCCTCTGCCTGCCTCTCCCCCGCTTGCACTCTCTCTCTGACAAATAAATAAAACCTATAAAAAAATCCCCTCAGTTTCACTACTTGTTCAGGACGAGAGAAAGAAAACAGGGGTTTTTCTTTTTTTTCCTTTTTTTCAAAGATTTTATTTATTTATTTATAAAGAGATCTAAAGAGAGAGATCACAAGTAGGCAGAGAGAGAGGGGGAAGCAGGCTCCCCACTGAGCAGAGAGCCCGATGTGGGGCTTGACCCCAGGACCCTGAGTCCACAACCTGAGCCGAAGTCAGAGGCTCAACCCACTGAGCCACAGAGGTGCCCCAGAACAGGTGTTTTTCTAAAGATAATCAGAGCCAAGTGTCACTGAGTACCTCCTAGGCATTAGGCACATTCCTCTGTAAACATCAACACTCCTAATACTGAGAGAAGGGCAATGGGTTTTCACGGAATGATACAACCACCGTTCCTATCTGAGACTCATCTTACTAAACTTGTGTTAAATGGAAAATTCACCACCTTGGTTCTTGCATAAGCCAGAAGCCAGAGGAGTCCTACAGACCCAACAACCTTACCCCTTAGGTTAAAAGAGAGACAGCACAGGGCTGGGCTGAAGGTAGATGGGTCTCTGTGTCCCTTAATCTGGGAGCAGCATCCAGTATCCTAGAAAGAAATCAGGCCATACCAAGACCAAGTCACCTGGGCAGAAAGCGGAGTGTGGCATGACAGGAAACCTGAGCTCTAGTCCTGGCCTCTGGAACTGCTGGGATAGACTTCTAAGCCCATGGCCATCCTGGGGCTGCTGCTTCTCTGCTGCTAAAGGATGTGTGTGTGTGTGTGTGTGTGTGTGTGTGTGTGTGTGTGTGTGTGTATGCGCACACGCGTGCGCGCATGTTTCTGGAATGGCCACATGGGTGGTGGAAGGAGCTGGGCTGGGAGTCAGGAGATAGGAGTGAAACATGCCTTAGCTGTTGTTTTTATAACCTTAAGAGAAAACCACTTCATCTCTCATGCTTCAGTTTCCTCGTCTATAAAACGGGAGACTGGACTAAATACTCTCTGTGCTAATATTCTGATTCTGATGGTCAAGGACCCCCTCAGAAAACCAGGCAATGTGGTTTGCTCTAAGGTCGTGAAGACCATGGCTAAGGGGCACCTGACCCCCCTCCCAATGCCAGCAGGGGCTCCCACTCACCCAACCTATTCAGGGGCCAGAGAATGGGGGAGCCTGTGGATGTTGTCTGCCCTGAGCAGAGTGTGGGTGGGCTGGGTGATGGTCAAGGAGACCCAGGGGAAAGGCTTCAGGAGCTTAGGCCCCTTTCCTGTCAGCTCTGGAACACTGCCAGGACAGCGATCTGCCCAGCCTCTCCCCCCTCACAGGGGCGGGCCCTCAGCTCCTACATCCCCTCCTCTGTTCCTGAAGGAAAACATCAGGGAACAGTGCCTGCTTTCCTGGAGGTGGCCCATGACTGCGGGTGGGGGGAGGCCTTGCGTGGAAGGAAAGGTAGGCGGGGTAGAGAAATAGGTAGCTGGGTGGAGACATTTTTTCTTCTTCCTTCTGACACTTTGTAGGAAAGTCTTTCTTCCTCCATGTTTACTTCTCCCTTCCAGGGTTCCCTTCTGGTACTTTCCCTAATCCTATTCTGAGGGGCTTTGCCCTATTTTTCAGGGACATTTGCATTCAGACAGAGAGTTCCTCAAGATCAAAAAGCTTTATTCCAGACCTCGAAAAATGGAGTTGGCCAGGCACATGCACGACAGGCCAGGCAGGGTGGGAAGGGCAAGGAACCGGTGAGTCCCCTTCCCTCCTGAGACTTCCAGGACCCCATAGAGCCTAATAAGCCTTCATCCTGTGCTAATTCTCAAAGCAGCTCAATGTCAGGCCACACAGTCTAGAAGTTCCAAAGGTGGTCCAAGGAACCTGCTCTCCTACAAAGGCTCCAAATTAAGACACATCCCTAAAAAGGCTGTTTAGGCAGCAATGCCAAAGAATGGCCAAGTACCATCTTTTTTCCCAGGAAATCCAGAGCTAGCTTCAGGCCAGGCATGGCGGGTAGCCCGGGCTCCCAAGTGCCTGGACAAGCATCCATTTACACAGGCCTCCCTCGTGTGTGAAGGGGAGCAGGAGGTGTGTGCCCTTATGAAGAGGCCTCCTCTGCCACGGACATGATCGCGATGCTGCTGGGAAGGAGCAAAAGAACCCTGGCTGTTCCCAGATGCCTAAAATCCTTTCGGAAAGGAAAGAAGACTTTTGCCTGTAAAAGATCAGGATTAAACCCCTCTGGGAAGGAATAAGGTGCTTTTTGGAAGAAGCCCAGAATGGGTGGCAGGTCTGCTGCTTCTGACCCATCTTACTGTCCTTGCCAGAAAGATTTTAACTTCACAGCTTCATAGTTCAGTCCAGACATGACTTTCTGCAAAGGCTTCTCACCCTGAGGAAAGGCCCCAGTCCAGCTGGAGAGCTCCTCTGGGATGGCCTCGGGGGCCCCTCTCTTTCCTGGCTCCTCCTCTCAGACCCAGGCCTGGGCCCTGCTCAGCAAGGCGTGAAGGAGGCCCCCCAGGGAAGCCAGAGGAGCAGGGGCCTTTAAATTATGGAGCAGCTTTCCTAGCCCCTCTCAGAAAGGCCCAGCGCCCCAGCTAAATAATTCACCACCTCAGGAAGACCCAGTGGTTCCTGACACAGCGGAAGTAGGTCAGGCATCAGCGTGGCCCTGGAGGTGGGGGGCGGGGGTCTGGAGCAGCTCCCCGCCAGCACTAGGGGATGCTTTGGGCTGGGAAGCGATGCCTCGCTGGTCCAGATACCGCAGGGAGGTGAGGGGTACACGCAGGAAAGCATCCACCCCTCCTCAGGCTGCCATGCTGGTGTGGACACAGACCTCCCTCTGGGGTCCCTGTCACCCTGCCAGGCTCCTCCTCCTCCCACACAACACCTGGGGGCGTGTTCTCCCCTCATGTGCAGATACCCCATAGCCTCTAACAGCTGATACACTCATCAGAACACCTTAGACCCAAATCCCCCAGTGCAGGGCTGGGATTCAGAAAAGGTGAGGCAGGGAGGAGAGAGGGAGACCAGGGCAGCCACAGCAGCTCCCGTTTTGCTCAGAACAAGACTGGAATGAAACCCTACAGCTGGAGCCTCTGGGGCTGCTTCTGTCGTCCCTTTCTAGGCACAGCTTGGAGCCAAGCTATGAAGGTTATGGGGTGGGGGGCGGGGCGTAGACCGAAAAGACAAACAGCAAAGCCATGAGGACATTGCGCCAACCCTCCAGCTCCAAGAGCTGGAAAGGATTCCAAACCACCACTTCACAGATGAAACTGAGGCTCCAAATCACAAAACTGGGGCCGCTGCAGGCGTTCTGACTGGGTTCGAAGCAGTCTGGGGTCTCAGCTCTACACGGTTTCCCTGACCTTCATACCCACGTACTCCAGCTTCCAGCAAAACCTCCCCTCAGGAATCAGCCACCACAGAGCTCACGGGGAGCCTACAAGAGTGCAGGAGCGTTGCCCTTTCTGGGCCAGACTCCTGGGTTCCCCTTCCCTCCAGCATAGCCTCACACCAAAGACACTGCCTAGAGAAGCCCACCCTCCCAAAGCATAGTCCTTTTCTTCTAGAGGGCCTGGAAAGGCTGCAGGCCAGGAAGGTCAGGCCAACTAGAGCACAGCACCCAGAGAAAACAAAGGTCCCATCTGGGTGTTTTCTCTGGGTGCAGAGACTCTCCACCCATGTGCTCAGAACTGGGATGAGGACAAAGTGAATGAATCAAAAGCAGGGTGGGCTGGCAGATATTCCCCCGCCGTGGGGTCCTTGGCAAGTCCCTTTTCCTCCAGGACTTAAGTTAGACAACAAAGGAAGGAAGGAGAGGCTACGTGAGCCCCAGGGCCCGGGCCCACTTCACCTTTCTCCCCACAGCTCACAACGTCTACCCTTCAGTTGTGCCCTCCCAGTGGCCATCTGGGTCCCGTGGAAGCAAAGGCCAGAGAACGGTTACTTTGGATGACTTTTTATTTTGCATTTCATATATTATCCAGCTTCACATTCTCACAGGATCAGCAATTACAACAGCCACCTTGTCTCCCAAGTCTGAAAAAGTCAAGACAGCCACAGCTGTGGCCAAAGGCAAAAGCACTGATGTGCTCACGAAACAAACAAAAAAATTGCACAATTTTTTTCCCTTCATTTTTCTGAAACTAACGCCTGACGCAAAGGCTCACTGCTGGAGAATGGAAACCCTTTTCTTCTTCATGCCTCAAACTAAACATTAAACTTATCTGACAAGGCGAACAAGGTCTCTTTAATAATTAATTGCACACACACACGAAAAATCCTTTATGATGTATAAATATTTTGTTACACAGGGTACAAAAATACTTTCACTTTTTGGTTGGTTTCAAAGTTCGGAAAGAATGAGGAGCATGGGCAGGGATGGGGTGCACTGTGGAGAGGTAAGCAAACCAGGCAGAGAAAGGATTTTCTTAGCAGATGCTGGCCCCTCTAGGAGGAGGAAGTGGAGGACCCGGATTTGAAATGAAAAAGAAAACACTACCTCTGTTAGGTGGTCGTTGCTGTTCGGCCGGGAAGCACGGGGGGGGGGGGGGGGTGTGGTCCCCAGCCGCTGGGCGGAGTGAGCTGCGGGGCTCGGTCCTCACTGAAGCAAGGGGCTTTGGGGAGGGTGTGGAGAGAGGGACCGGGAATGATGAACCAATGGTGGCCAGGACCTGTTGCTATGGTGACACAATGTGAGAACAAACTGTACACTCACATATACACAAGTTTAAGTGTCTTAATTCATGCCAGAAAACATGCAAAATTAAATGCCCCGTTTCTCTGAGGTGGAGCTATGGAAGCAAGTCTGGACCAGAGGTCAGGCCTTGCTCAGTCCCAGTGAGGCCTCCGGGCTGGGTCTGGGTATCCCAGCAAGAAGGCCCCCCCAGTCCTCCCGGGAGGTCTCGGTGCGGGGGCTTTGGGGGAGGAAAAGGGCAGAGGGAGAGGAGGAAGGAAATGGGAAACAGTCCACTGAGTCAGGCTTAAAATTCACAGTCTTTGGAAGGAAGCAGCAGCTCTCCACAGGCCGCCTGGGGGCAGTGGAAGCTCAGAGTGGCTTCCTCCCCAGCGGGGCAGGGGCTTCAAGCTGCAGTGACAAGACCTGGAGGGAGGGGAGAGAGGTGGCCATGAGCAGAGGGGTGGGACCAGACCTGAACCCAGGCCTGGCCCTCATGACAGGCTGCAAGATGGGTGACAGGGGGTGACAGTGGGAGAAAGGGAGAGACCAGCCAGAGTGCCTAGCGCGCAAGCTCAGGGGACGCCTAGCACCGGGGAGCTGCCGGGCTCAGGCAGTGGGAGCAACCGTGGCCCCCGCAGGAAGCCAGGCTCTCAGACACTCTTCCTCCTGGGCCTCTGGGCCAGCACTTACTGAAGAACTAACAGAACTGACGATATTTCCATCCTTGCTGGGTGGTATCAGAGGAAGGGTACCAGCGCACCTGTAAGAGAAGCCAATGTCAGGAGCTAGCTGGGCAGTCCCTTCTCTTGACTGGAAAGCCATCACCGTGCCTGCTGGAGCCCTGCTTCTGTCACTGATTGGCCGACACCGGGCCAGTTACTCACCTCTAGGCATCGGTTTCTTCATCCTGAAAATGGGAGAGGGCCGCCTGACCCGCCTCCTCCGCAGGGTAGAGGTTCAAGTGAACCGTGCTGTGCACTCCACTAGGCCTGATGTGAAGGCACCAGCTTGTGCCAGGTGGTCTCGGCAGTGGGGGCACTGATGCCCGCGACCTGCCCCTCCCCCCAAACTGGGAGCGTGCGGAATGCCCGACGTCAGGAGAATGAACCTCCTATAGTTTTGCTCGGCTTCTTTCTGTCTCCGTGCCCTCATCCCCGCATAGGACAGAGATGACTGAGCTGATCCTCAAGGGCGTCCGTGAAGATTAGGGGAGACACGACATACAGACACCTGGGAAACCAGAGGTGCCGTGGTCTCCCAGAGGCACGACTCCCAGACACTGGCCCTGTCCTTGTAGGATTTGCCAAGGAAGCCAGGGCTGAGACCCAGGGGATGCCTCCATCCCTTTCCATACCTCCGTTCCCTCCTTTCTCAGCCTCCCAAGTCTCAGAGATTTGTAACCTGCCAGCCGAGCCCTCCAGTGGGGGCCTGGCAGCTACTTCAACCCCCAGGCCCTACGGAGCAGTAACCCCAGAGCAGGATTCCCAGAGCCAAGTCAGGACATGATGTACCCTCCCCTTCTAAGTACAGCCTCCCCACAGGCATAGCATCTGGGCGCTGAGCTACACCGGGTGCCAAGCCAGGACTGCCCCAGGTACACACAGCACCGCCTGCCCCGGCCTCCCCGCGGCTGCCGCAGACTGCTGGGGAAACAAGGCATCCCAAGACAAGTCAGGGGCAAGGGGCAGAGTGCCCAGAGAAGGGGGCCCGGGGTCCACTCAGGAAAAGGAAGGGATGGGACGCAAGAACCAGTGTAGAAAACAAGTTGCAGCTGGCCTCACAGATCCCCCGCTCGGCGCTGCAGCGGTGGCCTCAGTTTCCCACTCGGCTGCCCGGAATCCCACCTCTAAGTAAGAAGATCACGGGCAATGCCAGGTCACCTGGGGGCCAGTGGATGCTTCCTAAGAACTTCTGCATCTCCTTCAAGTTACAGGTATTTTGCACACCCCAAGACCCTGGTCACCACATGCTCCCTAGCACAAGCTGGTTACCCTAAAATGCCAGGACACTTGGCACATAGCAGAAGCAGATCCTAGGTCACCTGACCAATACCAGGACCTTCCCTGGGCTCCGGGGATGAGACACTGCTCTCACCAGCTGACCCCGTGCCACAGGAACCACCTTGACTAAGAACTATACAGCACAGAAAAGGGTCAAGTGCCTCTTCTTACCTCTGAGCTGTTCAGCCTCAGAGGCCACTATCTTCTCCCCTGCCTCTACAACATCTGGAAGCAGTTCCCTCCCCTGCTGGCTGACAGCCAAGTGGGGGGATGCTTCTCCTCCCCTCGGGTGAGCTGTGGATTATACTCTATGCTGGAACGGTGACTGGGCACGGAGCTCATCCCACAAGACAGGGACACGGAAGAAACCAGCATGGTGACTACCAGCCAAGCCTGTGAAACACCCCCGGGGGGGCCTGGACCACCACCCCTCACCCGGCCTCCGGCTGCTGCAGCCCTGTGGCAAGAAGTCTGGCCAGGCTGGGAGCCTTGCAGGGCTGGACAAGGGACAAATGTCGATTAATGAGGACTCAGAGGCCTCTGACTCTCTCTTGTAACAAGGGAAGAAGCCAAGGCATCCTGCAGCTGCGTAAGCGGCTCCATTGGCAAGACCTGCCTCATGGGGTCCCCCTCGCCCCACTAGGTGCTGCGACTCAGCCTCCAAAGCAGCAGCTCTCCCCCCAGCCTGAGACGGGCCACCACCTCCTTGGGGAGGAAGTAGAAGCCAACCCCCATTTCTGAGTTTGGGAGGGAAGCACCATCCAAGTGGACAGAACATCCTTGAGGGGCTGCCTTTCCAAGACACCCGGACAGGCTGGCAGTCGGGGCTCTAGAGAAGCACCGTCCCTTCCTGTCCCTGCTTAGAACTCGAGACCCGTAAGGCACAGCGATCAGGGCCAGCACCTCAGGGAGTGAGTGCTCGGCCCACTCCCAGGGCCTCTGGTTGTTCACAGGGATTCTGTGGGTCCTAAGAAGCCACCCCACATGGACAGGCCCGTGGGCATCTAGAAGGACCCGGCTCCAAGAGGGGCAGCATCAAAACGAAGGGGGAAAATGGCACACGGAGGGGGCACATGAACTCAGTCGTCTCTCAGATCTTGGGACGGACTGAGAAGATACAACCAGGAGGTAGACAGAGGACTCAATCCACATGAGAAGAAACAGGAACAGCCAAGAAATACGGGCGCCTCAAAATATATGTTTATAAAAAAATAAAAAAAAAAAAAAAAAAGAAAGAAATACGGGCGCCTCACTCATCAGAAAGCCAATTAAAGGAGCACTCAGGCTGGCATGCCTACACTTTGACCTTGTCATAGTTCTAGCAGTTTACAATAAGGATACCAGCAGGACAGGCGCACGGGGTAGACAAGGGTGTCTGCCGCAGCACGGCCCGTCAGCACAGAAAACTGAGTGAACAGCCTCATGTTCCATCGATGGGGAGCTGGACACACTTCTATGACGGTGGGTTTGCCAGATAGCCGGGATGTAGATCTACATTTACCGACAGGAAGCAAGGGCCTCATACTTAAGCTTTAAAAGATTAAATGTGTAACTTTCATTAAAAAAAAAAAAAAGACCCACAGCTATAGTCTTATACATGTGCACCCAACCAGCTACCAATCCTAAGGACTCAAAGTAGCCATTTTGGGGGAAGCAGGATAGTAAGCAAAGGGAAAAGAGAACCTTATCATGCCCATTACACAGATCAGAAAATAGAGGCAAGGGAGTTCATTTAACGTTAAGGTCACCAGTAAGCAGTGAGCCAGTGTAAGAGCCATGGTCAAAGACCCCCACATCCTCAGGCGGAAGTAGAAAATGAAGCCCAGTCTGAGAGGACCCTGGGACACAAGGGGACACAGAGAACCCCTGCTTTCAGGCTTGTGCCAGACCCCGGTGTGCCCCCGCCACCCATACCTCTTGGATGCCTCACCCTCTTAAAGGGGAAGATTCTATTAAGAGAACCAGAGGGTCGAACAAAATGGCCTCATGCCAAGGCAGAGTGCAACTGAACCCTCCCCAAGCCCCTTCCTGCAGGTCTGGGCCCCGTGGCCATAAACGGATGCCTCAGCCAAGGCTGGGCTAGTGGCAGAAGGCGTGCAGTTGGGATGTACATGCTGGGATAGGGCAAGGAAGGACTGCTTTTCATCCCCTTTTGCTACTACCTTCTTTCCAAGTCCCCTCCTTGCCCACAAGCACAGAAAGTCAGTTGTTATTCCTCCAGGTTCAGAATAATGCCCTCAGATCAACAGCGTCCACTTTCCTTATTGAGGATTTACGGCCCCCATGTCTGGGCCGCACTGTCAGGGAACGAGGGAACTCTTGGAAGGTAAAAGCACAAATGCTTCTACTTGGAAAATACTCTCATTTTTATGACTGCGTTTGGTCCAGACATGGTGGTTTCCTGCTCTGGAGACTGACTTCCAGAGAAGTCGAGTAGCAGGGACAGAACAAGTCACTCCCTGGTCTGATTTCTTGTTGTTAGCCTTCCTCCTGAAAAAATGCCATTATCCTTTGAGGTGGCCTTTATTCCCTTCCGGGGGAGGCCAGAGACAGGAACCGACAACCACTTAGGCCTCCAGCCTCAGGGAGGACCCAAGGGGCGTGAGACAGTAATGACAGCAAATAGTAATAACTGTGATAACTGGCCCTTCTCTAGCTCTCCCTCTACACTAACATGCGAAAAACAAACACTGATAAAGTAGGCATGATTATCACCATTCCAAAGAAATGGAGACACAGAGAGGTTAAGTAACTTGCCCAAGGTCATACAGGGGTTGAAAGAGCCAGGATTTGGACTGAGGCAGTCAAACCAGTTGGACAGCCCCTGGGCATGGATAGGGTGGGAGGAAGCTGGAAAAGAAGACGACTGGAGCGCACAGAGCCCTGCGGTATGGCGTTTAAGGACAGGTTGTCACGTGCCACTCCCAGCCAGCCGGGGAGCCGCCCAAAGAAAGGGCAGAGGCGTCTCCCTGTATTAACCTGACACACTGTCTTGCTCCCAGCCGCTGCCTTACCACTGTCATGGCGGAGCATCTCAGAGCAGAAGGGGGAGAACCTCTCCACCTGATCTGGTCTTGCCCTCTCATTTTACAGATGAGGACACACACAGAGGCCCAGAGGTAAAGTCACTTGCAAAAGATCATGGAGCTAAATGGTGGCAAAGCTGGGATCGCAGGCAAGGAGGCCAGCAAGGCCTCGCAGGGCTGCTGCAGTGAGAGTCCCTTCTTGGCCAGGAGCACTCCGGCCCACCTTCCCCACTCTGCCAGGTCACAGAGGACAAGGACTGTCTTCCGGGCTCAAAATTCTTTGCTCGCCGCAATACCTGGCTTGTGATAAATACCCAAACATTTCCCTTGAGGGAAGGATCTTTACCACCTTCCCATCCCCTGATCAATTTTCCCACTGTCTGTGGTACTCAGCTGGGGAACAGTGCCAAGTTTAACCACGCTTCTGTCCTCAGTATGATCTAAAGCAGCCACGGCCAAGAATACCCCGGCTGAAGGAAACAGCCTGTGAAGGTAGCAGCCGGGAAGTCCATACCTTCTACCTTGGGACTGGGTGGACCCAGATGTCACGGAGCCCTTCAGACGACTGGAGACAGACACGCACTCAGCCGTCCCTTGTGCAGAGCACCCAACCTCTCCCACCTCAGCTTCTGGTTCCTGTGAACTCCCTTGTCCTGCCTTCTCATGTCCTGCTCCTCCTCCTGCCCTCCTGTACTGGCTGGGCTACCTCCGTCAGCAGCAGAATGGGCCTGGCCCAGTTGCTCTTCCCACAGTCTACCGACCGCAGGCCATAGTGGGCTTGCTGTTGCTCCTCAACCTCACTGTGCCGCTGGTGGCACCCAGTCGCTACAGCCGGCAGTGTGTCCTGCCACCACCGCCTCAGGAAGGCTCAGGCCAGGATGGACGGCGGGTCACTGGCCTCTCAGGTACCCACTATGGGACGGCACTCGGGAGCACAGAGTCCCACGGTGCCCAGGGCCCTCCTCAGCCCTCCCTGAGAGGGGCTCATCCCCGGCTTCCCACCCCAGCACAGGGCCACCAAGCAGAGTGTCCAGGCTTCGTGAAAACCAGCGCACACGCAGCCCTCGGGACGCTCCCGCTGCCGCGCTAGCTTATGTGCTATTACCATGAAACTCTCGCAACAGCCCTGAGGTAGAAAATACTGTTCTCATTCTGCCCAACAGTAAAAAAGCCAAGACACAGAAATCTTGAAAAGCTTTCTGAAGTTTATGAAGACGGGAGAGGCAGAGGCAGGCGGCCTGGCTCCGGAGGCCACACTCAGGCTGGGATTGGCACTGGCGCTCTGTCACCACAGGCAAAACACAGTACGGAGCCTGCCTGAGGGGTTCAGGGGGTGGTAGGACCACGCTCGGTCTCTCTCAGCTCACATATTCGGCCACAGATCCTCGATGTGGCCTCTCGGCTAATCCTCTCCCTCCCCTCTGCCTGATCCCAAACCCTAAAGAGAAGATCATGGAAGAAAGCAGTCCTGCTGTGGCTCTGGCAGCATGAGTGGCCCAGGGGCCACCCAGGAACAAAGTCTGGCTAGCTCGGAGCTTCCTCCATCTCCTACTGCCCCTCCCCCAGAAGGGCTTACCTGAGCGTGGATGGCGGCGGCGGCAGTGGCAGCTGGGTAGGTGAATGCAGCAGGTGAGATGGCGGGGGTCAGCTCTGTGGTGTACAGAGGGTAGGGAGCCCAGGCCTCTGGGGACGCAGGGATCAGAGCAGCCCCCATAAGGTCATCTGCAACAGAAGAAAAACAGACCCCACGGTCAGAGCATGGGTCTCCCCTTCCACTACCCCATTCCAAACAGAGAATGGTTGAAGTGTAAAGTGCCCACTGAGGCCAGACTTCCCTCAAGGACCCCAAGACCAGGGAAACAAGCCCTGTCAGCTTGACCTGGCATGGCGAGCATTCTCGCTGCTTCAAGAAGCCCTAAGATGGGCCCCTGCCCTAGGGGAACCCTCCTACGCTGTTGGTGGGAATGCAAGCTGGTGCAACCACCCTGGAAAACAGCATGGAGGTTCCTCAAAATGTTGAAAATAGAACTACCCTATGACCCAGCAATTGCACTGCTGGGTATTTACCCTAAAGATACAAACGTAGTGATCCGAAGGGGCACGAGTACCCGAATGTTTATAGCAGCAATGTCTACAATAGCCAAACTATGGAAAGAACCTAGATGTCCATCAACAGACGAATGGAAAAA